AAATCGCAGGGGATACGCTTTCCCGGACCACGATCGTTTTTGTCCGTCATTTTGAAAATGAGATTCCGCTGACAATTAATCACGGGCGCGAAATGTCCACGATTTCTGGCAATGTGTTCATTATGACTGTAGTAGTACCTTTATCCGCTTTCTTGACGCGGGTACGTTTATTTCAGAGCTGTTTTTTAGCTCTGTGATAGCTTTTCTCTCATTTAGCGGTAGGTTGGGTATGGCTTTGGTTATTCATATTGTGCCTGGTAATATTGTTGATTTCTGAAACTCAGACTTTCTGAAAAAGTCACAATTGGACCTTCCTTCTGCATGAATTTTTTTTCTTCACCCTCTTCTTTGCATGAATTTTTTTCTTGACATTTTCCCTTGCATGAATTTTTTGGGGTTTTTTCCCCCCCCCCCCCATCACTTTTCTAATGGTCCGTCCCTAAAAAAGGGTGTCTTCACATCAGTGCCCAGCGAGAACAGTACTCGGGCAGCGTGCCCGGGCATCAAGTGTGAACTCTATCGTGGACCAGACTACCTTAAAACGTCCTGCAAGTGTGTGCTACTGGTTGGGGTTCCATTGTTTACCCTCCAGGTCTGTGATGGGTTTCCAGTTTAAGGCAGTTTTGGTCTTTTTAGTTTCAGAAGAGGTTATCTGTACCCACTAGGTGCATGCTTTATATCTTTCTAGCTACACCAAAACTAGTTAGTTTTTGTATATGCGACGACATAACAGTTGTTATAATAACATGAGTACTTAAATAAAACACATCTTTTTTCACTTCCTGTCTGTTCTTTGGTCTGAGACGATATAGGGTCTTCAAGGCCCTAGCGCACGGCCCCCAACTAAATTTTCCCTCGTGCTCCCGAGTAGAGTCAAAGCTTATAAATACTGACACCCAAGTGAAGTTTCCTTATTACACATGGGTCCGTTTAGTGGGGGTAGGGAGGGGGTAGGGAGTGTCCGTATGGTAATGGTTGAGTGTCCCCCTGATGGACTCGGGTGGTTTGACTGTGTCAAAAGTAAACGGTCACACAGAGTTTAATCAATACTATGTACAATTCCAAGAGACTATTAAATATATGCAGACTACATACAACACACGTGCATGCCCTGTGCAGCACTCGACAAAATAATGGTAAAGATATATAACAACACCGAAAACTAAACAATGGTAGGTTTTAGCGCTATACATGTTCAAATTATAACTTCAGGGCTGCTACGGTGAGGAGAAACCAACAGTTTTTCAAAATAACGAAAAAGTTGGGAAAATTTTCAGTTCTTGGCTCAGTCATGCGCAGGCGAATTTAGATTTTGGCTGCCACACGTTTTAGGCATGTCATAGTAAAAATAGGTCTTCTGTATATAGTACTATATATACTGTGATCCTTTATACTCTTTAATACCGTAGTCTTAAGAGGTCAATGTGGCGTGCATAAAATGCAAGACGCAAAGCCTGAAAACCTGAACAAGAAAAAGTTGGGATTTTTTCGGTATAAATTAACAGCTGAATTAAGTTGCAACTCTACAGTAACTTCTCGACAAAAGTGTATTTAAAATGGCGCACTCTGGTCCTAAATTTCAGGGACTATTATTCATTTATTTACCATTAATTCAACTGCTTATTTTCCTGCCTAATAGTTTCTTTTTCATCCTTCGGTACTTGCCTGTGTTCCTATGGCATTAATACTGCCTTCCATTTCCGCAACGTTATTGAGACGTAATTTTCACGTGCGTACGCGTGTGCATGAAAACGTATGAAAGGCCGCACGTAAACGTAAAAGTTAAGTGAGCTAGGTTTAACTTTTACGTTACTCTAGTTTATTTACGCATGTAAAGCACGTAAAAACTAGACGATAGTGGAAATGCACCCTAATGCCCAGGGGCCAAACAGTATGATTTCAACCTGACTAGTCCACATTCAAGGGCTGAGAAGCTCCCGTCCTATTAAACAAGATCAATAGGATTCATTTGCAGAAAATAGGTGTTTATGAGTGTTTACAAGTATACAAGTATAGGATCAAAAGAAACCGTAATTGAACTGTTTCCAGCTGCTACTGTAAAAATTTTGCAAAACTAGTAATACCTTCATGATCGAATTCTTTTGCAAGAATTGAAATCGTTCAGTCTGGTCAGTAAGGTATTAAGCTTTTCCGAGATTCTATCGAAACAGATTTTACTTTTAAAGTTATATTAGTAAAGTGAGTGAAATCCGCTTGGAACTGGTTCAACTTGGAACAAAGAAACCAAAAGGTGTCAAGGCGTATGGCCGAGCCTAAGTTTTAATGAGTTGGAGAAAACTTATTATTATTCGAGTTTTAGGCGTACAAGTGCGAAAAGCTATCGGCCTTGAACAAACGAGATTTGTTGGAAAAATTGATTCATAATCCCTTCCACAGCTGAAAACACCTATTACGGAAAGCAGTTTTCCTTCGTAATAATAAAGTAGATTTCGGTACAAGCACCGATCCCATGCACCTTGGTGTTATTCTAGGTAACTGTAAAGCGTAATAGTACACAGTGGAAAAAACTAGCTTTCAAAGTTCCAAGAATAAATAATGTATTCAACTATTTTGTATTTTTTTTTTTTTTACCCCAACATAGAAAAGATGGCCATTTCCAAAACCCTTCATCCGGAACGGACCTTAGAATCGAGAGTTCGGTATCAGGATCATAAACCAGAGGTGTAGCCAGCTGCCTTGTCCCCAATTTAGTGCGTGGTTTCCAAACGATAATTGTTCTAATTCATCTTCCTAAAAACAGCTTTGGAAATGGCCTAGAAGACCATAATTATATGTAATATTACGCGAGATATTTCCCATCACCTAGGTTAAATATTTCGTTTAAATGAGGTACCGAGTCGAGAACCGAAAAGAGGCAGTTTCGTTAAATCAAACAACTAAATTGTGTGAATTACTGTCCAAACACTTGCAATAAACCAAACTAAATATTGGAAACTGGGAGTTTAAACCTTGATAATGGCTCTCTTGTCAGTCCTTCCCTCGGTAGAAATACAATGTTCGGTTAATACAGTAAGCGATTATACTTAAGCAGGTAAGCAGAAATGAATAAATAACGTAAAGGGATTTATTCACACACGTGGCGGCGGCCACAGAAAAGGGATTTATCTAATGCTATTTTGGCGTTATCCACCTTCTGAACAACTGGGTTAGGTTCCAGGTCTATATTTATTTACAAAGTTACCATCACGGTCCATTTTCAATTATTCTTTGATGTTGATCGGAATGAAATCCACGTTCTCCGCACACCAGAAGCACTCTTATAGAAAGGCATCGACAGTAACTACTGACAGAAGTGGGAAGTGTAAGTTAAACGCTGATAATTGCAAATAAAACTCCGACGTTTCGGCAATGGTGCCTTCATCAGGGAAAATATTTTCCCTGATGAAGGCAGCATTGCCGAAATGTCGGAGTTTTATTTGCAGTCAGGTTATCAGCGTTTAACTTACCACCTTCCCACTTTTAACAGTCACACACAGACGCTACGCGGGAACCCTCTTCATTAGTAACTACTTGCAACCGATGTTCTGTACATGCACCAAAGTCTTCAGTGCGTGTTCTAATATGAAAAAAAACTGTTATAATTTGTTTTTAGATATTTTAAAGTGCCACACACCCCAAAACTTTCAAAGTACTGGCTAGCTACCGAAGACCATTAAGCAATGAAAGGACCTCGTTTGAATTGCATTCAAAGCAAATTTTTAAATTGCATGAGAAAGGCTACTTTTCATTCCATCATCATCATCATGTTTTCCTCTTCTGATATGGATCCTCGAGGCGCTTACACACTTCTTCCAGTTCTTTCTTGGTACTGTAAAAAAGAAAACTTTACTGTAAAAGGCAATCACAAAGAAAACGGCAAAAATTTTAAGGTATCATTCATGACACAGATAAGAAAAAAGGGGCAATAGCAGAGGGTTGTCTAATACATCCCCATCAATAGCACGAGAATTATAATTGTAAAATTACGAAGCGCCATTTCAGTGTCTTAGCCGAAAGGCCCCCATAGCACACGGGGAAAGAGGAAACGATTAAAATTTTTGGCAAGGTTTTGAACCATTTACAGAGCTACTTGAAATGCTCGCCCAGTTTTTTCAAGTTGTCATCTGTGACTTATCACAACCTCAAATACCTCGTTTCGTTGCATTTAAGGCACTACTAAACATGGCTAGACCACTTTTGTTCGTTTTTATTGTTGCATCCACTTCCCCCAGACATCTCTAAAACGTACACGAAAGGGGCTCTTCTGAGTTCTTTTCCGCTAACACTCTTGTTTTATTGCCTCCGCCATTTTGATTTGTTCTCAGGGGCGGTGGCGCTGAAGCATTCTACCTAACTTTTTTCTGGAAGAAACGCTCGAGGCTTTGTGAAGTTTCCTGTTTTGGGTCTTTCTTTTCCTTATTTTGTGGCTTCACGGAGTACAGTTTCCAATGTTACAGGTTTCCAGTTCGGCCTTGATTTGCAACTTTTGCCGGACTTGCCGTAAGAAAATTTTAATTGATGAAAAATTTGGTGACCCATCTATACCAGCCACGTTCCCTTCAATAATCCTGGATCCAGCCATGAAGGTTCTGCTTACTGATAAAATTCATTTGTACCTACGTAAAGTGTTGTTTGACTGGAAATAGACTCAAAAGCGAGGTCCATTTTTATAGTTGCATATAAGCCAGGAAACACTTGCAGCAACAAATGACTTCAATAAGCTTATTTTCACACAGGTTAGTACTTAACACGGTGAAGGGAATGGTTAGAAAAACGTTACATAGTCCCTTTTTTACGTCGGTACCTCGAAATAGTGATCTGACTAACAAACCTGAGGTTGACGATACGTTCATTTTACCTGAAGATATGGCACCTGCACCCAAGAGAAAGATCCCCGCTGGCAAGTTCGACTTGTGTTGGGGGGGGGGGGAAGTGTATCAATTCCTCCCACCCAACCCTGCTTGTGCTCGCATTGTAGAGTCAATTACACTCACTCCTGCTTACCTTTCAAGATCCTTGTGTTTCTCATCCAGCACCTTCTTCTGCATGGCTAAACACTGCTCAAGGTTAGTTTTCGCTGCTTGTAACTCGTTCGTTTCCTTAAGAACCATTGCAACCTCAAATAGAGATAAAGCTGTTTCCGTGTGCTCCTGAAGGAATACCCGCCGAATTTTCAGCGCTTCCTCTGAACACTTTTTAGCGTGTTCGAACTCTTCCAGAGCACGGTAGTTTTTGGACAGGTTGTTTAGGATGGTAGCTGTAAAAGGATGATCGCCCAGCTTTTCTCTGTATATTGGAAGCGTTTCACGTGTTCTGCATTTTACGGCTTCTCGAAAAAGTGCATTGGCTCGTTCTCGTTCTCGTTCTCGTTCTCGTTCTCGTTCTTGTTGATGTTGTTTTTGATGATGTGCCGCTTCCAGGGAGAGGACAACTAGAACACAGGAGAAATTCACAGTTTTCGTAACGTAGCACATTACCATGGCATTGTGAACTTGAAAATCATGAAAATATGTAACGAGTTTGTATAGGAGCCTTTGGCATAACCTGGAGCGAGCAAAGCCTTTAGCTACACCTATGCCTGTAGGGGGAGGGGTGGCGTTTTCACGAACTGGTTTGTGTTGAGATACACTTTAGTTTTCCCGCGAAAATGGACGGTCCGCTCCGTCTATGAGCGCATTCAAAGTATAAGATATGAAAAAAGAATACTAAATATCATTAAAAGGTCAGTAATAAAGTTTTCAGGTCTGTAGGATTTGCTTACTGGTTTGTGGGAATATAAATTCGCACCAAAATCGTTCAAAAAATAAATTGGTCCGTGCCGAAACGACGTGACACGAGTACATATGGAAGTTGCTCACTCCGGGTCATGGGCTCGTGGTTTGTATCTGTAGAAGGTTAAAATAAAATTTAGGCTAAAATGGTTTCAAGCTAGGAGACATAGGAAATCGAGAATCACACTGAGTCGAAACTTCATGTTAAAGTTTAGTATATTCATAACTGATTCTCTTTGGACAAAGCCCGCACGGCAAGATAGCCAGCCGCTGGGATCAACCATCCCTAGGGACGGATCTAGGAAAGAACTTAACGCCTTGTGCCTCAGGCTTTTAACTTTTCCTTTAGCCTGTGAACAGGCTCTCTGTTCGGGGAAAGTGTTTGTCTACAGGCTCTCACCCTTTCCCTTCCCTCTCCTCGCCACTTTTTCACACTTTTCCCAAACAGAAAGCCTGTTCATAGGCTAACTTTCCTTCGGTTGTCTGCATCCCCTTCTTATCTAAGATACCATTTCTTCACACTTCTTTCTCGAGGGCGAAAGGGAGAGGACCCTGGGTACGATGTCGAGGACTCCCTGTGTGCAGGAGGAACTTAGGCTCACCTGCTAAGTCGTTGTATGTTGCACCTAACATGACTCTATCCTCTTCGCCATGCCCCTTACGAATATCGATTGCTTTTTTAATCATCTCCTTTCCTTTGCCAAATTCGCCATCTATAGAGACACAACGGCCATGTTTGGCAAGGCACTGGGCTCTGCTATTACCGGTATTAATTGGAAGGTCGCTCTGGATTCTATCGGCTTCCATAAAGTAATCTTTAGCTCTCTCTCCAGCTTCAACGGACAGATGAAGGGAAAAGAAACAACTGAATGCCTCTTTTATCCCTAGTGAAGTAAGACAGTCACTTAACCTTTTTTCATCTTGCAACAGTAGGCACTTGTCTTTCAGCATATTAAAAACCGCATTAAATCGCTTGTCCCCCATCATCTTTGCAAGTAGCTCGGCTGCTTTGTTGAACACATCAATACACCTTAGTCTTTGTTCGTCGTCCAAGACGTCACTCTTGAACCAGTCGAGAAGTTGCATGATGTTTTCCACTTCCTGACGAAACATATCGCAAGATTCAAAAGCGCTTTTGCTCAGGAACTTCTTGAAAACCTCTTCAAGAAGAGAGAGAAAATGGTCGATAAAACGCTTTCGGCCGTTCTCGTATTCTTGTTTTGCACCTTCTTCTTGGGCCTTGTTTTGGCAGTAGAGTTTTTGGACTCCAAGAAGACTGTACCAGCACGGAGCTGTAGGACCTAATATGTTCCTTTCTAAGAAAGATCGACTAGCCAATTCCAAAATGCGGCCTTCTAACCCCTCTGAACAGAAGACTTCTTTAGCTGTTGACATGGTAAAATGTCCTTTAAACAGCGAAAGACAAATAAGAGTGTGTCGTAGATCCTGGTCAAGTCTGTAAAAGCAAGCGTCAAGGCACACGTCTATTTTCTTACTTGCATCAGTTTCAGGAATTAATATAAATTTCTCGAATTTGTCCCTTGGGTTGGCGTTGGTCATCATTTGCACAAGATCGGGTGGATGGTCTTGCCAAGAAGCCAAGGAAATAAGGGCGAGCGGAATACCATCACAAAATCTGGCTATTTTGTAAGCAATTTCTTCGTCCAGCTGACGGTCAGTACAATAGGTGTTCTTCAGAAGCTCAAATGATGCACTCCTCCCTAACGGATGCAGGCTTACTATGTGTTGACATGTGTCTGGAAAATACGCTAACACTGATGAGGTAACGAGCAGCTTGACGTTAGTTGAGGCTGTGATGATTTCTGTGATGAACTTTTTAACTTTAAACCCTTCTGTTTGGTCAGTCCTTGTTATCTCCGGATTCATGTTGGCTTCCTCATTGCGATCCAGCGGGTCCAAGTATTGAAAATTGTCCAGCAGCAAAATGACGAGGAGATCTTTCTCACTTATTAGCCTCCTTTTAACTTCTGCAGTCGATTCATTCAAAGGGAAATGATAGATTTGCTGGGAAATCTTCACCGCAAGATCATCACATGAATTGACAGCACTACAGTTGATGTAGACGACAGTAGTGTTATCGTCATTACCTCGAATCTCATGTGCCGCTTTAATAGCAGTGGCTGTTTTTCCCATCCCAACAGCACCGTGTACTAAGACACAACTGCAGTCGTTTTGTGGGTGTGGGAGAAGATGTTTCTTAATGTCTTCAATTTCTTGATTGCGATTGACAAACTTTAGAATAGGACGCGGAAGATGGGACAAACCTATACCAGCGCCTGTAAAACAAATTATGTATTGTTGCTGTATAGTCTGACGCAATTTAGCAAGATTTCCTTTATATGCAAATAACTAAACGGTAAATTAACGAAAAACGATATTAGCAGAGCTCTTAAGTGACTAAAAATAGATCATGAATTGATTGCGTAGCAGTCGTATGGCACTGCACGAAAGACGAGCGAGGGCATTGGGCAAAAAGGAGAAAAACTTGTCTCTTTTCTCCCGCTTGCCTTAAGGGGAACGACTGCTACGCTAGCTGCTGCTAGTGTCAATAGAGCTATTTAACCTAACGGTGACAATTTTACCGAGCAAAGTTGGCTAGCGATTTATAATAACAGATTTCTCCTCTTTTAAACACCAACCATTAACATTCACTCAAAATACTTCTCCGTTTGTGATTTGACGAGCAAACGCGAAACAAATTGGGAAGCCGTTTAATACGTAATTCATCGATAAGTTTTTGCCATGAAATGATTTGTCAATGAGGCCATCCTCTTTTTTTTCTCCGTTTACCGTCGTCCGACCGACCCAGCTTTTTGGCATTAAAAAAAACGACGTAGTTAAACCATTTTTCACTTGAAAAAATTGTTGTAATCTGAAAAATGAGTATTTATAGTAACAGCATAGAGAAAAACAGAAACAAAAACAGGAAAATTTTTTACAGTATATTGTGTATTTTGTTAATCGAAAAATGTGAATGTTAGTTTTTAACGTCGTCCTGGGGTACCAGGGCCTTCTATTCCTAGACTTCTTGTGATTTTTTTTTTTTTTGGGGGGGGGGGTTCTTTTTTTCAATCCGACCGACCAACCCAACATCAGGAAACGCATTCGACTCTAAACGAAAAAAAAAAGGGGATGGCCTTATCCACAAATACAAAAATTGTTGGTGACGTCACTCAACAGAAAGTGGTGGTTTTGGGAGCGCAGAGGCGCAGAGCCTAAACTAAACCAAACTAGCGGACAGATTTCAAATGCTTAATGCTAACTGAATGAAAAAAGATAGCAACAATACACAGAAGCCACCTGCACTGAATTGGAAAATTCTCAACTTTATTTTTGAGGAATAACTTCTAAAAAACGATTCAAAGTTTTTATATTAAAACTGCCGAACTGGCAAATGTTATGAACAAATGAAAAAAGAAACGTTATCATCCAACTCAACCTTCGGCTTCGGCCAACACCCTCCTAAACTCCATAATCCTTCATGTGGATCAAACAACTGTTTATAGCAGGATTAAGGTTGTCTTAAATTAGCTGCAACTTTTTATCAGAGCTACAAACTTAACAGGAACGCGGAATATAATTTATTGTTTAATGTTTCTTTTGATACCTGTAAGGCACTCTGTTCTGCGTAGGTTTTCTTGTCCATTTCCTGCTGTATCAAAATTTAATACCAATATGAGCGAAATCTAACTGTTAAAAGAACATTCTAAGGAAGGTATAACCTTCTTTTTTGAAGTCTGAACCCATCATATGAGCCATACAGATCTAAAATCAGTTACTTAAGGACGAATGTCGCAAGGATTGAGCAAAATTGGAAATGGTCAGACAAAACCTTCCCTCATATTTTGTGTGTAGTTGGTACTTCAGATGAAACTACTCAGTATGGAATTTGTTTGACTTCTAACAAAAACCTGCACTGGGCATCGGGGGGGGGGAGGAGTTCGGACCAAAGATGGCATTTTGGGGACAATTTTCTCCTTGAAAATTTGAGTTTTGTTGGGTAAATATTTCGGAAAGCAGACTAACAGTTAAGAAATCTGTTTACATGATAGCAAAATATCAATAAAAATGTTATCAATTTTTCTCGAGGCCACCCCTGACGACCCCTTTTCATTGTCATTTACAAGGGGGGGAAACGTTTTTTGACAAGGCTTAAAAAAAGAAATTTTTGAACATATTGTTTTCTTACTAGCACTCCAATGTAGATCAAAATTAAAACAGGATGTAATATTTCACCCTTTGTGAACCATTTCATGCTTAAAAATGGGTAATAGCGTCATTTCGTTGCTATGACAACTCCGATGCCGTTGCAACCCTGATCATAACAGATTTTCATCTTTATCTAATACAACTGTGGTGGCAATTTTTCCAAAACTTTGTTTATGGCGACGTAGTTTATGCTCAAACTTGGGAGGTATTGGCCCTGAAAAACTGTATCGAGCCACCTTAATCTGCTCGATAACTGACGGTAAAACGCAAAGGAATGCAATCTATAGGAACCATCCAACGTTCTTGCTTAACATCGCCCGAATGACATTATTTAAAAGAAAGATAGCAGCGAACAAAAGTTGCGAAAATTTACTATTTGGCTCAGGGATACATTTTCATTTGATTGGCATGCAAAATGTATCGAGTGCCCTCGGATTTTACTGCCTTACAATATATCAATAATCTTGAAACTAAAGGGCCATATAAAAGGAAGGTTAATCTCAAGAATCTTATTTTTTTAAAAAAATCTATCGAGTGGTTTAAAAATTATTCGCTAATTTGTTAAAGTAGACCAAAATGTTCAAAAACCGCTAACAAAAGCGCCTCGATACATACTAATCAAATCCTTCTTTCTTGCAGTCGGCTGGAGCTATCTCCACGGTCTTTCACACACGTTTTTAAAACGATTGAAACTACTATCAGGTAAAATTGCATGTCCAAAGCGCTTCATTTTCTACAGATAACAGCCGAACATCAAGATTATCCATTTTTTACCGTATTTCTAACCACAAAATCTTGATCCCAAAATATCTCGATAACGCTCTTACAGATTTCGCTTAAACTTCACGAACATCGAGGCGGCTATTGGAGAAAAAAGCTCCCGTGAATAATTTTGGAAGAACAGTTCTCAGTGCCGAGAAATACTTCTGTAAGTAAAATAGGTAATAGCGTCATTTCGTTGCTATGACAACTCCGATGTCATTGCAACCCTGATCATAAAAGATTTTCATCTTTATCTAATACAACTGTGGGGGCAATTTTTCCAAAACTTTGTTTATGGCGACGTAGTTTATGCTCAAACTTGTGAGGTATTGGCCTTGAAAAACTGTATCGAGTCACCTTAACGATATTTGGTTTACAAAAACGGGTATCGTGTGGTTGACGGTTAATTTATGCAAATTACTACCGGCGATAACTTGGCAGGAAAATCTAATTCGTAGTTTTCAAGCAAAATAAATCGCTTCGATGGGATTATTAATAGACTAGTAATAGTTGACACTACAGCTGCCCCCGCTCTGTATATTGTCGGTCAATAGCATTCTTGCTCGTTGTGTAGCTCTTTGAAATATACCGATTCATAATGAAGATTTTCACACATATTCCATACAATAGGTGAGATATTAAAATACAGGAAACGCAAGGTTCCATGCACAGTTTCAGGTCGATTTACACAGCAGTTTCGAGAATAGTTCATTCTAAATCATAAGAAAATATTTAATTAGAAGTTGAATTTTTCGCTATTTCTCTTTCACTTTTTATATTCATATCATTTTATTTGCTGGAAAGGAAGCCTTAGAAATTAAAAGGACGTTTGATCAATTCACACTCGCGCATTCTAGTCTTATTTTAAACTTTATAGCGGAAAGACATCTGTGAGCAGGGAATAAGTCAGCACAGAATTTGATTGTCGGCGAATTTCTGTAATCGTCCATCGTTCTGCTAGTGAGAAGCTATCCGTTGTTCACTCGTCTTGCTTGTTTGGCCGGCTGAGTCTTATTCTGGTCAAAGAGAGAGAAAGATCGAGTGTCTGGCAAGGTTTCCAATGAAAGATTTGTGAACTCGTGTCTGGCAAACTCTGCAATTGTTTATATATACACAGTTATACGCACCTTTAATATAACTTCTTCTGCGCTTAACGAGTGTCGTTAAAACTTTTTTTTTTTTTTTTAATAACATTTATTCAATCAACAATCAACTATCAAAAATACTTACAAACACTACGATACTTACACTACTTACAATACAATATTTAGAATACAATAGACTAAGGTACTTACTCTGTTTACAATGTAAAGACTTACAATACTCAGTACTTACAACACTACCTACTCACTACTCACACTACAATGCACTATTTACAAGCAGTTCTAATTAGTAATTGTACTTCAAAACCAACATTTATTCACGGTAAACGCACTTATAAAAACGCACTTATATCTTAAGTGTCTTAAAGAGGCAGCGATTGTGAAGCAAAAGATACACCAGGTTAATGCTGGAGAAAATGAGCAGAGGATCGAGATATACAAATGTATATAAAATCAAAGGCTTACTGAAATAAGGAGCTCACATTTTCCCATTTTTTTGGTAAAATGGGACCTGCAGTGGTCTCTATGTGGTAGAATGATTAGAGGTATTGCAGGAAGCCAGCTATCTTTGGCGAAGTTTCCCTTCTTTTGCTAATCCAGATGTAATTTCTGGCTAGAAGGAAAAGGAAATTAATTTGATGGCAGTTTTTTGAAGAATCCGGCTTTAGACCAAGTACAAAAAATATATCTTATGTGTAATGTTCCGGTGTAATGTGGAGCAAAGTCAGCTTAAGAGATAAACTATGCCAGAAAAAGGCCACTTTAGGACAAGACCAAAAAAGATGAAGAAGTTTCTCCGGTTCATTATTACAAAAAGAACAATTTGGGTTGTCTTTTACGCCAATTTTTGTTAAGAAGTCGTTCGTTGATATTCGTCTATGTAAAAATTTATATTGGAATTCAATAATTCTTGTACTTTTAGTATATTTAGCGGCCAACTGGTAGGCTTCCCGCCAATTAATCGCCTCCACATCATTTTCGTTGCAGTCTTTTAGCCATTTCTGTTGATTATGGGATGGTAACTGGCATTTTGTAGAAAGCAACTTGGTGTATACAAGTTTGCTCGCACTTTGGCATTCTGTTAATCTTACTACAAAGGGTTCATAATTGTTGCAGTTTTTGATGCAGTTTGTTTTACATGTAGTCCAAAGAGATTTTAGAGCAGACACTAGTCCGAAATACTTTAAAAGACAAACTTTGAGGCTGTATTTTTGCTGCAGCTCAGCTAGTGAT